AGTTAAGTGGGATGTATGTGATATGGAAGGCATAGGCAAGGGCTAATATGATCCTCAAATGTGCTGAAACTTTGTCTCACCACACCCTTTACCCGTTAATCATCAGCTGATTCCATTTAATGTGATTCCATTTAATTGAAATCTGATCTGCAGGAATGCTGTTTCACACAAAGGTAGCCTAACCCTGAAACTCATAAATACTAATTTAGTTATTTTTTTATTTTACTTATTTATTCATGATATTTATATTTATATAGGTTCCCATCTCACAATCAAGTGACTCTGAGCAGCATACAACAAAGTTAAAAAGAAAATATACAAATTAATCTTGTGTCCTGGGTCAGTCTCTTCCTCCGGACTCCAGTGAGGAGTCAGCAGATGAGCTGTCCCTGTTGAACTCTCAGGGGGCTGAGGAAGAAGTGGCAACTGAAGCACTTCAGCCTCACAGCTCATCCCCAGCTCTCAGCCAGCATCCAGCTGAATCTACTTAAGCCCTCAGATCTCTAGAATCACCTGTGGGAAGATGTAGGCATCGGCTGAGGGCTGAGTTAAAGGAAAGGTGACAATGCTAGGCTTATGGCACGCAGACATCTGACACAGAACCCTGAGTCTTTCCAGGATGCATCTTGACAGTCTGCTAGCTGAAGATAAACACGAGGAAGACATAGAGCCAGTTGTGGATGTAAACTTGTGCATTCTTGAGACGAACTGCTGACACTTTGAATCTGACTCCTTGGCTTCTTGATCTGTAGACTGGACTCTGACTTCTGCATTCCTGATCCACGGCTTGTGTTTGGACTACGCTCTTTGGATGCTGAATCTCAGCAGCTTCTGGCCTTGCAGCTGTTGTAATCTGATCCCTGGCCAAGCCAGCACATATTGATATTATGAATATTTTAAACATTAAAATTATTTATTTATTCACCATATTTATATAGCCATCCATCTCACAATCAAGTTATCCTCCAGGAAGCTTCAGCCCTCTCCATGACCTACCAATTTTATTCAGTGAAAATGCCTGCAATGTAATTGAAGGATATTGCTCCTGGATAGTCCATCCTCATCTTGCAAATCTCATGGCTGTGAGGGGGATTTGATCACCCTTACTGCCAACACTAGAATGATGTTCAAGCTGATTGATATAAAACATTGTTCTTGACCAGCTCTGCACAGGACCAAACCCTCTATTGCCTCATCTTGGTTATATTATTGGACTTACCTGTAGCTGCCAGGAGAGCAAAAAGGTAGAGAGAAAGAAGCTTCATGATGGTGAAAAAAGTAGTGGTCTCTGGAGCCTTCAAGCTGAAACGATAAGGATGTTGTCTCCACAACATAAACAACTGTTCAGTTCAGAACAACAAAAAAGGAGGGGGGTGTTGAGGCAAAAGCTAAGTCTGATTGAATTAAATGTAGCTAAAAA